CTCCACATATCATTGCTCATTAAAAACTATCTTGTGTCAGTGCTGTAAACTAGAACAGGCACAGACGGATGGAAGGGGGGGCGGGGGGGATAGGAGGGAGAATGGGAGACGCCTGAGAATGGATGTTGTATAAAGTCAGTATATAAATATACTGTTAGTAAGAGACTGTCTGATAAGGTGTCGTGCTATTACCTGTAATAAAAAGTAATGTTTCACAACTCCTCTTCAGTCAAAAATAGTGCTTTTATGAAGGATATTTCTTACAGCGTGAGTGATGGTAATAGGAAAAGAGGAAAATTGAGGGTGTTATCTCAGAGGGAGGGAATAAGGAAGTAAGGTGGACTATTTTTATTATCTCCTTGGGGTTCTTTTGCTTTCTTTTATCTTCGCTGCTCAATCTGTTGTTCTGCTCTTCCCCTCCATGCTTCTTTGTTTAGAATATCTTTATGCGCAAACAAACTAAAACTCTGGAGGGTCTAAATCACAGGGAAGGAAGGATCGAAGGAAAAACAGAAGCAATAAAAAAACAACAGAAAAACAGCTGAAGACACAATCCTCATTTCACTTAGAACAGCAGCTCATGAAAGGCACAAAGTTCGGCCACAACTCATATCACCCGGGCTCGCATCGTCCCCTCCCTCCCTGACATTTTCATCCCTCTTCCATCACCTCTGGCTGAGGTGAAAAAATGCCAAATAGAGGGATTACCAAAAGCCCCTCAAAGTGGCTCAACAGACCAAAGCCCAAAGCACATACTTGCAGTGATGAGGGTCTGGATCAGGTTCCTGACCTTTAACACTCAGGGCTTCATGGCTATTTGGGTTTGATTAACGTTGGTTCTGTGTTAAATAAGTTATGAGTTATCAGTGGTAAACCATCTAAAACTAAYGCTTTTCTCAATCTGATAGGAGCGGAGCTAAAAGACAAATATTATCTTGTGAAATAAAGCTAAGAGAATCTGAAAGTGATTATAGATCATGGGTATAATACTGTAGCAGTTTAGGTTTTTACAGCGGGTAAAATAAGTATTGAACACGTCAACATTTTTCTCAGTAAATATTTTACTAGAGG